CTAAGTAACTATATAATTAACTAAGAAGAACAACTCTAATAGCGTAGACGTGTGTAGGTACTAGACTTTAAACTATTATATATACGAGTTATCTAAGTAGCTTACTTATCTCTTCTAACTAGATATTTTAGATAAAAAAGACTCATTAGATTAATATGTAAAAATAGTACTAGCCTTATATAAGTAATATTATACAGCACTTTATATAAAACTATAAGCTAAGTTATAAAAGCACTCCCTAGTAGGATAGAAAGTTTAGTTACTTAAAGCCTCTACTCATGCCTCGTTATACGTGGCAGCACCCTATAGTTAATTTTATTATAGGCCTTCTTAACTCTCTTAGAAATATAAACTTAATAGTAGTAAAGAACTAATTAGAGAAAGGTGTTTTACTTGTCCTTATAAATAAGATTAAGATAATAGACGTTGCTTAGGCTTTTATATAAGAAGTCTACTACTACTATAGCCTTTTATAGTCTATCACGTCTAACTATAGCCCCTAGCTTATTAGCTAACTATAGAAAAACATCTTTAAGCTACTAAGTATTTAGTAGAATCTCTTTATAGCTTACTACTTATAAATAGATAAGATAATAGAATAAGCTAATAGCAACAGAGAAGTAGTTATATAGATCTTTTACAACTATAACTAAGATAATTAGGCTTAACTTTACCTCTTTTTAGAACTTATGCTTAACTTCTATATAAACACTTCTATAGGTGTATCTCTGTTCTTTGTTTACTATAGTTACTATAATACCATATTTCCTTAAAAGGAAGCTATTTTAGATAACTAAGAAGTAAGTACAGTAGCTAAAGAGATAGTATATATAATTAGTAATGTAGTAAACTGTAATGGGCGGGCCCAACGGGCCGAGCGTACGACTACTTACGCCATCCATAGCCAAAAAGGCAGTAACAAGACTTCAAGCTTCTTGAAGTCTAGGTAGTCGTATAGATATACTCGATCACACACACTTTAGGCGTAGCCTCTTACATAAACTAGGTAGTTTTAGTAATATTATACGCCTAATAAGAGTAAGAGAAATAAGTAAATAAATCTTATGAACTATTACTTACTTATAAAGTAGAAAAGTAAGTCTAGCTAAACTTACGTAATATGTAAATAGCCTAAATAAATAAAAAGCTAGACTAGGTAAGTAGAAAGTACTAAGTTACCTATATATAAGACCTCTACTAGGTAGAACTTATAGTGCCTTAGAAGACAGAATTCTTTTATGTAGATAAGCTAAGGCTAGTATCTGATAACCTCTTGCTATTATAATAAATAGATAATAGTAGCCCTATAGCTGTTATTATAGTTATAAGAAAATAAGGAGGAAGAAGACTATTTAGAAAAGCTTATATAAGGTATTATAGATAAATAAATATGAAATAGAGAACTATAATATCTTATTATTTAGATAGGCTACCTAGAGGGTAGTTAGGAACTAGCTATAGCACTTGAAGACATAAAGGCCTTAGATAAATAGCTTGCCTAAACTTCCTCTATATAAAGACTTAATAGCTAGCTATAAAATAGCTAGAGGCAAAAGCGACTTAATAAGTAATAGAGATTAGCGCTGTCCTTAGAGGCTAAATAATCTCTCTTAGTGCCTAGAAGACAACGCTTAGCTAGTATATGGATAGATAAACTATCCCCTTCTTCTACTATATAATAGGCGCTATAGTCCTACTAAATATAATTGCTATACGCATTACTTTACTTCCTATAAATAGAGATATAACTAGTAAAGGCTACAAACTTCTTTGCCTTATCTAAGAATAGCGTATAGTTATTATAGAATATCGCATTAAAGGCGCTACGTAAATAGATAAAGAAGGCCTTAAGGTATAAGAGTTAGCTACCTAAGATTTAATAGGCATAGAGCGTTCTATAGGTAATAATAGGTAAATAACGACTAAGGCTAAGACTAAAGGTAGCATTATATAGCAATAGTCCCTTTAGATAGTAGAATATATTAAAGACTTAGCAAAGCTTAGGCTATACTAGTCAGCTAATTTAAATATATAATAAGAAAGTAATCCTTATAAAAGTGGTAGTAAATCCTTAGTAAATCTCTTTAGTAACCTATATATTAAAAATATACTAGACCTAGTAGTTATTAGAGTTAACATATCTAATAGTAATAGGCGCTATAGCCTAGATAGCACTTAGCGTTGTATAAGTAAGTAACTAATAAGCAACGTTAAAGATCTAAGTAGTTGCTTACTTAATAGTGTTATTAACTCTACTATTTATCTAACAATATAAGGCGTTAACTTAGCTATTAGCTTATATCTTATAATTAGCTATTATATAAGATAACTTAAGAAAGTAACTATAATAAGAGAAAAGTTAAAGCTAAAGAGATAGAGGAAATAAGTAGTAAGTAAGGGAAGAAGAGTATTTATGCTTACTAGGTAGTGTTTGCTATATATTACTATTACCTAACTCTCTCTTACCTTTACTTTAACTATATCATACGCTAAATATATAATAGTAAATAGATAAAGAGAAAAGAAAAGAAGACTAAAGAATACGCACGTAATATTAGATAAGGTAAAAGAGAAGAGTATTATAAAGGGCTACGCTAGAGAGGTATAACTTGTAGGTTATATAGTGGTAAATTATATTACTTTAGTTATGTAACTAAATAACGTAGTTTGTTATATACAAATAAGCTTAAGTAAAGAGGAAGACTAAAGGTCTAAGCGTTCGTACGAGTAACAACTATAAAAGGAGGGCCCTCTAGATAGTTCTTTTCTATATCTTCCTTCTTCTATACAATAGGTGAATGCATACTCGTTAGTTAGGCCTCTCTCGCCTATAACACAATCTATTAGTATAAGAAGAGTTCTAAGAGGAGATTATAAATAAAATAGTAGAGTTAATTTAAGACTTTATCCTAGATACTAGAGATGCTATAATTAAATAGCTAAAACGTCTACTACTATTAATTATAAAGCTAAAATAAGATGCTTTTTATACTAAGTTTATAAAAGGTATACTAGATTAATTATTCTTTATAAGTAATAGAGTATATTGAAATGAAGTAAGAGACTAGATTAAATAGAATAAAGACTTCTCTAAAGCTTAAGTAGTTAACTATCTATGGATAGAACTTATGCTAGAACCTAATAAGAACTTAGCTGCGTAGGCTATAGGCCTTCTAATGTCTTAGTCTAAGAAGTTGTTTTTCTTAACTTATAATTTACCTCTTAGCATACTAGCTTAGCGCTATTATAGCTCTAGTATTAGTTCTAGTTTATTATTACTACTATAATTACTTTACTCTCTCTTTTTATTACGCTAAGTTACTAGCCTAAGTATATAACTAAGGCGTAGTAGTTAACTAAGAAAAGGAGTATAAAAGTAAAGCATAAACGCTAAGTTAAGAATAAAGAATCTAGCATCTATATAGAAGCCTATAAGGAAGATAAGATCGCTAGACGTAAGAAATAGAGTAGATAAAAGTAGTAAATAAATTATAACTAAGAAGAAACTAAAAGGTATTTTAGAGAGAAGTATTTAATATATAGTAGAGGTAAGCTTAATAAGGCTAAGCTCTTGAGTTTAGAAGGTTTATGCTAAGGCATAAAGTTACTATAACCCTTATACTAACTAAGCACCACTTACTTTTAAGAAAGAATATAAATCAGTAGTTAAGTCTATAAGAAAAATTAATTGATAATATCTCTTAGAAAAATCTCTTGCTTAAAGAACTAACTACTTATATTTTACTCCCTCTCCCCTCTCCTATAGCCTATGGGAAGGGGAAGAGCCTATAGTTCTGTTCCCTCTACTAAGAAGACATCGCAGTTCCACACTACACCTCCACATTATATACTTACTACGCTTAAAGAACTATATACTAAAATGCTAAGATAGAGTAGCTCTTATAGCTAGGCAATTTACTTAATTTTAATACTATTAAAGTAGCCTAGCTATAGCTTAAAAGAAAAATAATATAAAAAGGCGTATTAAAAAGTTAGGCAAAAGAGACAAAAGTATAGTAATAGTACTAAAATAAGCTACTTTAATACTAAATTCAAGCTTAAATAGAGCGTATTTTATTTTATATTTGAAAAATTATGAAACTTAAAGGTAGTAATAAGTATAAAGAGGGGTGGCGGGACTATTTTATATAGCTTTAGCCCTATTTTTGGCGGTAATTAATACACCCCTGTTAGCAAGAACTTTTGATAGTCACCTCCGTACAGTTATCTACATTACACAAACATCAGTTTTGTGATCTTCGGGCCGATTATTCTGCAGATTTAGCGTTATGCAAGACATCTCTGTACGCGCGCGGTTAGTTATCTATCAGCTATAGAAAACTCAACTATATACGTAAGGTGATGACGTCTAATTGGATGGGTCGCAGTGCTAAACCAAAAAATAGTGCGGCTGTGGCAGACCCTTGGCTAGTCCCGGAGAAACACAATACATCCCAGGCCTGGATACCTACAAGCGTGGATAGACTAAGCTGACTCTAGAATCCCTTTTTGTGGATTTTTTGGGGGGCCCAATGGACGGAACATACCCTTGGCCAGGCCTAGATAAGGACAGAGGTCACGTGTTTAGCAACAGTTTACTTCTAGTGAATAGATATCCTATATTATATTTACACAGGGAGATACATGACAAAGGTTGCACAATGAAGTCTCAGAAGAAGATCCAGTGTCGGCAACACGACGGACGTGGACACTTTACATGAAGAAGCTCGTAAACTGTCTAAAATCCTGTTCTAGAAATGGCTGCATCAACAAGATAAGTAAACCACTCGCTTGACTCGTGTCATGCGACATTTCTCCCGCGTTTCGGTGTTTCTCTAGTTCGGGATAAGGCCTACGGCAGCCACTCGGCGACTCTTAACCCATGCGTATATAGCACAGTATGGGCCATAGCAGTAAGAAGTTGAATAAATAACGCCTCTCTTCTAATGAGTTAGTTGGCTTGCAAAGAGGATTTTGAAAATAATCCCAGCTTGTTCATCATGTCTAGCCTATCCATTCAAACCGCACCCTCTGTGGCATTCTTCTGCCCCCAGAGCAAGACCCCAACAGAGGCATACCTGGCACAATTACAGCAATACATCATTCAGAGGCCGCTGCTGCAGCCACTCAAACAAACAATCACTTCGTTAAGAAGCACATGGACAATACTCTGCGAACACCATGCAGACATTGCCACACACACAGAAGGCGAGCGACATATGGCCAGTCTAGAGCAATGGATCACTGAAGGGCTGACTGGGCCCGTATCCAACCCTGTGTGGAGTACGCTGTCTTTACCACTATTGGCCGTCATGCAGATATGTCAGTACTTCCAATTGCTAGACATGCACAACATTACACACGCACAGATGCTGGAAAGCTTGAAGAACGGTGGCGGTGCACACGGATACTGTGGAGGTCTCCCCGCAGCCTTCGCCATCGCCTGTGCCCAAGATGAAGAGGATGTCGTTCGTCTCGCCTGCAAGGCTGTGCGCTTGGCTTTTGCAGTGGGGGCATTTGGCGAGCTTGGGGACGACGTGTCAATTGATGGAGTCACAACAATCGCTGTACGGCTGAGAGCTTCGCAGCAAGCAGACGGGCTTGTAAAGGACATAGCAGGAGTAAGTCGATTTCGTAGTTTTCTTCACGAGACCCCTCCCGTTACTGTGTCCATATGTGCAACATCTCAATTTTCCTCTGCCTTCCACCCTGGAAGCCATCTACTTACAATTACTCAGTGCTACGTTTCCGCCGTGACGGACCCAAGAACTGTCAGTATTGTAGGCCCCGTACATGAGCTGAAGAAGGTGACCGAGAGAGCACGAGCCCAGGGACTCTTGGTCACTGATATCCACATCCGGGGCAAAGTGCACAGCCCGGAAAACGCGCCTCTGGTGAAAGTCCTGTTTGATCTGTGTCAGGGCCGGGATGAGATGACATTGCCCGCGGCAAGTCAGCTGCAGATACCCGTGCGATCAACTCTGGACGGAAAGCTATTGGACAGCTGTTCGCTGACCCACGAGGTGATCAACACCATTCTCGCTTCTCGATGCGAATGGTACCGACTTTTGGAAGAGGTGGCACAAGACTTGGCAAAAAGCAATACTGACACGCACACATTTGCTTTGTTCGGCATTGGGGATGCCGTCCCCCTGATGCCCTTCCATAATGCGCGCTTGCGAGTATCCAAGGTCGAAGCCTACACCGCTATTCAGAATGCCAAATTGGCCGAATATGAGTAGTAAGTTGCCCCACGAGCGCGACCTCATCGCGATCCTTGCATCGCCTGAAGCAGTGTGCCCCACTGACACATAGCTCTAGTCCAGAGAGCGCCATTGCCATCACGGGAGTTTCTTGCCGGCTCCCCCAGGCAAATGATGTGGAAGAGTTGTGGCAGCTTCTCGCTGCTGGCAAGTCAACTTGCGAGGAAATTCGCCAAGACAGAGTCCCCATGCAAGATAGCTTTCGCGTGCTCCAAAACGAAAAGTCGCAACCAAAGTGGTTTGGAAATTTTATCGATGGAGCCGACGAATTTGATTGGGCCTTCTTTCGCTCCAATGCCAAAGAGGCTGCCAGCATGGACCCCCAGCAGCGAATCCTCATGGAACTGACCTTCCAGGCCCTGGACTCGGCTGGCTATCTCCGCAGGCATTCTCGCGAAGATGGTGACCGAGTTGGGTGCTTTATCGGCGCTAGCTTTGTCGAATACACAGATAATATCCGTGCTCACCAACCAACTGCGTACACAGCAACTGGCACGATTCGGGCATTCTTGTGTGGGAGATTAAGTCACTACTATGGCTGGACGGGACCAGCAGAGGTTATCGACACCGCCTGCTCGTCTTCACTGGTCGCTATCAATCGTGCCTGTCAATCGATCCGGTTAGGTGAAAGCCGGATGGCAGTTGCTGGTGGAGTGAATATCATATCCAGCGTGCACAACTACCTCGCTCTTGGAAAGGCTGGCTTTCTCAGTCCTACTGGCCAATGTAAGCCATTCGACCAGTCGGCAGATGGATATTGCCGCGGCGAAGGTGCTGGAATCATAGTGTTGAAGCCCCTGAAGCAGGCTTTGGCAGATGGCGACCAGATATTTGGTGTCATCGCAGGCTCATCGACTAACCAGGGCGGTTTGTCTGCAAATGTGACGGTAACTCATCCGCCAGCCCAAGTGGAGCTGTACAAGTCAGTTCTCAAGAGCGCTGGAATGAGCCCAAACCATGTGTCGTACGTTGAGGCACACGGGACGGGTACACAGGTCGGCGACCCTCTTGAGGTCAGCAGCATAAGGGACGTTTTTGGTGGATCGAATCGTCCAAACAAGATGTATCTTGGTTCCATCAAAGGCAACACTGGTCACGCAGAAACAGCAGCTGGTGTTGCTGGCTTACTGAAGGTAATTGCCATGCTACAGAAGAAGGCAATTCCACCCCACGCACAGTTCGAAACATTGAATCCGAAAATCCCTTCCTTGGCTCCGGACAAGATTGCTATAGCAAAGAGCCTTGAGCCATGGGAAGTGACTTTCAGGGCTGCTTGGGTTAACAACTATGGGGCGGCGGGAAGTAATGCCTCGCTCGTTGTTTGCGAAGGGCCTCGCAAAGACATGAGCGAAGCGTGAGTCTGCATTCACATCGCAACGAAACGAAAGCTAACATGCGTGAGTAGACAAAACCGTTCTCTATCGAGCGCTGTGTACCCCATCATTCTTTCCGCCTTCACAGCAGAAAGCTTGAAGGCTTACGCCACATCATTGAAATCACACTTGAGCCGGGCGAAAGTAGACCTTGCAAGCCTTGCTTACACCCTCTCTGAGCGGCGAAAGCGACAACCACTGGCCTGGACAACAACCGCTTCTGACATTGCGGACCTGCAAAGAAAACTCTCTGCGAACATCTTGCCATTGAATATACCCCCTGTACCCAAGAAGGTGGTGCTTGCCTTTTCTGGTCAAAGCAAGCAGACGATTGGGTTTTCAGAAACGCTTTACAGGTCTCACTCTAGATTACGGCACTACATCGACGAGTGCAACCGCATGCTCATTGCGCTTGGATTTCCCTCGATCCTCCCGGCGATATTTACCGACACGAAAATTGAAGACCCTGTCGTGTTGCAAACAGGTACCATGGCCGTTCAATACGCGAGCGCCAGGTGTTGGATAGATGCAGGCATCCGACCCGGTTGTACCATCGGGCACAGCTTTGGAGAGCTGACGGCATTGGCTGTTTCAGGCGTGCTTTCTATCGAGGATGCCCTCAGACTCGTTGCTATTCGAGCGCAGCTAATGGTAACAAAGTGGGGACCAGAGAAGGGCACCATGCTTGCAGTCTTTGCGCCTGTCGCTGTCGTTACGCGCATCATTGAAGCCGTCGGCGACAAATCCCTAGAGATTGCCTGCTTCAATGATCTCAACAATCAGGTGGTGGTTGGAACCGAGGCTGCAGTGACTGCAGTGGAGAGCTTGCTGGCTACCGACCCCTCGTTCAAGGGCTTCAGATGTCAAAAGGTTGATGTTACTCATGGGTTCCATTCCGTTTTCACGGAGCCGCTCAAGCACGACTTTGCCAAATCCTTGGACTCATTAACCTTCAGTGAACCCTCGATCCCTATCGAGCCCTGTACAAAGGGACGAACTGTGTCCATCAATGTTGACCATGTTGTATCGCATCTCCGCCAACCAGTCTACTTTGTGGATGCTGTTCGCCGGATCGAAGAGCGCTTTGGGGGCTGCATTTGGCTTGAGGCAGGATTCGACTCGTCTATACTCCCCATGGCCAAGCGTGCGACTGCAACTTCGGGGATGCATTCGTTCTACACCATCAAGGCATCCGATATTGAGGGACACAGTGAGACTATGGCTCGTATTACCACCAGTCTCTGGAACGAAGGCATTGAAATTACTCCTATGCTTTTCCTATCTCCGTCCGACGCTGGAGTGGAGCCCATCTGGCTGCCACCTTATCAATTCCAGAAGACTAAAGCGTGGCTACAGAACATCGATAGGGCTACTGAAATCCAGCGCGAACTCGCCAGTATGAAGGAGGAAAAGCCCAAGACCGCTCCTGTACATGTACCTGTTCGACTGGTACATCACGCGGGGTCTGCTGGCCATGTGGAAAAGTTCGTCGTACACAGTTCGGCCACACGATTCCGCGAAGTCATTCATGGCCATGCAGTCAGAGGTCGGCCGCTTTGTCCGGCTTCAATGTACATGGAGTTGGCGGCCATGTCAGCCAAGCTTCTTGGCGCAGACATTGGCTCCAAGTCAATCGTGTTTGAAGATTTGGCATTTGAATCGCCTCTTGGTGTCAATCTAGACCGCGAAACCAACCTGAGTCTGGAAACATCTGGAAATGATAGCTGGAGATTCATCGTTTCGAGCTCAGCTGGCGCAGGTCGTGCGACTGTTCATGGCAGAGGCAAAATGCTTTTGGGACAACAACCCCAATTCTCAGCCTACAAGCGACTCTATGCAGGCCGATTTGATTCAATCCTATCTAGTCCGACTTCCGAAAAGCTCAATGGCGGACGAGTCTATCAGCTGTTCTCCAAAGTTGTCGATTACGCCGAGTTCTTCCAAGGGATCAAAAGCATCACGATTGATAAAAATGAGGCAGTAGCCGTCATCCAGATGCCAGAGACCCATGTCGGAGGCGATGAAAGTATAGTCACACGATACTGCGACACAGTCTCTATCGATGCGTTCATCCAAGTGTCTGGCTTACTTATCAACAGCAGCGCGGCTTGCCCTCCGGGTCAGGTTTTCGTCGCTTCGGGACTGGAAAGCATCACCATGTCTGGACTCTGTGATTTTGACGCCCACAAAGAATGGAAGGTCTACGCTATCTTCACAATCAATGATGCCATAAATGCGACCGGCGACGTTTTTGTTCTGAACAAGGACGGTGAGATAGTCATGACTGTCTTTGGAGCCAAGTTCCATCGTCTGGATATTTCAAGGCTTGAGCGAACACTAGACACCGCGAACGGATCGAAAGCAAACCAGAAACCGGCTGCAATTACCTCTCGCAGCTACCAGCCTGTCCCGGTGGAGAGCGTTCCAGAGCTCATACATGACGATACCCCAGACTCTTCGAGCGCTCCTTCAGATACTGAGGACGAGTTTGAAGATGGAGAGGTTCAATTGAAAGCGATAATCTCCACATATACTGGAGCACCAGCTGACTGTATCTCATCGACCACAAATATTGGTGACCTCGGCTTTGATTCCCTTGCATCAATCGAGCTTGCCAATGAAATCAGCGAGCGTTTTGGCAAGACTTTCTCACCCAGCGATCTTTTGACACTCAGTATTGGCACATTATGCCAAAAGACGTGTGCCAACACCTCTAGAGTCGGTCAGGGCCGCCTCGTGCCATCCAAGAGCCACGTCGCAACAGCTCCCTCCATGGCTCCCCAGACCAACGGAACAATGTTCACGTCGACTCAAAACAACCAAGCAACGCTGCATTCACGTACTGAAGAATCAGGCAGTCATGGACAGCGTGCCAAGCTCTTTGCACTCATCTCCGAGCTTTGTGGTGTCGATGTCCACAATATACAGGAACACCAATCTCTCCAGGATCTCGGATTTGATTCCCTTTCTGCGACAGAATTGGGATCCAGTTTGTGCGACGAGTTCAACGTCGACTCTGAAAAAGTCGGCACGCTCCTGGATATCTCCGTGAGAGATCTTTTGAAGCTGAGCGGAATCGGTTCTCCAGAGTCGAGCTTGTCTTTCTCCAAGCCAGCATTCTCGGGAGTCAACACTGGACCGACGAGCAACCTTGATAAGACGGCAGGGATTGCGGGTCCATTCGATTCCTTGCTGGAAGCAGAATCCTCGCTACCCGATCACGCGGTGACTTGCCAGTTCACGGGATATCTAGCCAATGTGGCTGCTCGTCAAGATGAGCTACTCCTTGCTTACCTCGTAGAAGCGTTTGGAAAGTTGGGCATCGATTTCAACGCTCTTGAGGTAGGCCAGGAGATCCCCGACTTTGAATATCAGCCGAAACACACAAAAGTAGTCAGGAGATACATGCAGATTCTCCAAAAGCACGGCATCGTTCAGAAACGGGGTTCTTGGCATGTTCGATCAACCGGCCAGTGCCGTTTCGAACCTTCTTCCCAGCTCCTACGCCACTTTGTAGCCGACTTCCCCAAGTACAACTGTGAGGCAGAGCTCATGGCTCTCACAGGGCCAAAGCTTGCAGAGTGCTTGACAGGCGCCGAAGACCCAGTTAAGATCCTATTTGGCACGAGCAAGTCGCAAGAGATTGTTGGGAATCTATACAAGGAAGCCCCCATGTTTGCCACATTGACGGAGCTTCTTGTGGATTTCTTGATTCGTCTAGTCCAGAAAGCCAAGGCACCCATTCGCATACTAGAAGTTGGAGCTGGCACCGGAGGCACCACGAAGCGACTCGCTGAAGCATTGAGCACTCTCAATCACCCAGTTGAGTATGTTTTCACGGATATATCCCAGACGTTTGTTCGAAATGCATCCAAGAAGTTTGAATACCCATGGATGCAATTCAAGACACTTAATGTGGAGGTCACGCCTCCCGCGGATATGATGGGCAGATTCGATGTCATCATCAGTACCAACTGTGTTCATGCGACGGCGAACAGAGCTGAGTCTTGCCGTCACATCAAAGAGATGCTGAACTCGAACGGCCTGATGGTCCTATCAGAGATGACCAACATATTCGATTGGCATGAGATTGTGTTTGGGTTGTTGGACGGCTGGTGGCTAGCGAACGATGCCGACCACGCAATCCAATCTGCAGAAGTATGGATGAAATTTCTGCGTCAAGCTGGGTTCGCGAGTGCCACATACTCCCAAAGTACCGAGCCTGACTGCAATCTCCAACGACTACTCGTTGGCTCTGTAAAGCAATATCCTGAGCCGCTTCGTCACATGGAATTGCCATCGAGCGGTGTCGAGACTGTTGTTTACAAGTCCATTGACGGGATTGAGATAGAAGCGGATGTTTACTTGCCCAGCATTCCGCCAGCCAGCTCAATGCCCGTAGGTAAATAATCCCCAAGCACAAACGCTTCATTTCCACTAACAACCACGTAGCGTTGATGATCCATGGCGGTGGTAACATGACGTTATCGCGCAAAGCAGTCCGACCAGAGCAAACCAAGTACTTGCTTTCGCACAACATCCTTCCCATCAGTGTGGACTACCGTCTATGTCCTGAGGTCAACGTCATTGAGGGGCCAATATGCGATGTTCGCGATGCGTACGTGTGGATCCAGAAGAAGCTCTCTGAAGTTACTTCCAGATTCGGCATCTCAGTTGACACAACTCGCATCGTGTCGATTGGCTGGTCATCAGGTGCTCATCTTGCTATGAGTCTTGCCTGGACTACAACAGAGATCAAAGTGCAGCCACCAGCTGCAATCCTGGGGTTTTATGGCCCTACCGATTTTGAATCCGGAGGTTAGTAGAGCCCTATATCTCTAGGTACCCCCTGTGCAACGAAAACGTACTGACAAACTCCACCAGACCTGGACATTAACACCAGGAAGTATCCAGCACGCAGGATGCGACTGGAGAAGATTATGCAATCCTTGCCGAAGAGACCCATAACGAGCTATGGTGCCATGACGGATAGTAGTGAAATGGGCTGGATCAAGCCTGGCGACCCAAGATCCGAACTGATCTTTGCGATTCTGAAGGAAGGCATTGGGCTGAGGGTTTGGCTTAATGGTCTCTCTCATGAGGCTTTAGCACAGAACCCCGACCCAGCACTCGTCAGAGCGATTAGCCCAATGGCGCACGTACGGGACGGCTCTTACGATGTTCCAACATTCATCATCCATGGAACTGATGATGAAATCGTTCCTTTTGAGACAGCTGAGGTGTTCATAAGGGAGCTGGAGAATTTCGGTGTAGAATGTGGCCTTCTGAAGCTTTCAGGGGTGAAGCATATCCATGATTTGCATTTGAAGCCAGGGAGCGAGGCGTGGGACAAACAGGTGGAGCCTGGGTACCGGTTCCTTCTAGAGACTCTGCAGGTCTCTGTTTAGAAAGTCCTGTCTCGTTGTTCTGACGGTTGACTTGAGACAAAGAATTGGTTTGCTCGGCTGATCGTTTTATACATTAGCCTTGTGTATCCCGAGAGTAGTCTTGGTATCGCAACGACAAGACCAACGCACTTGAATGCCACTATTTCTGCACCTTTGACCTCACAGCCCAGAGGTAGCTGATCTAGAATTCGATACAGGCCGCATTTCGGACACGAATGAGTAGCTTATCTCCACTAGCACATAACTGATGCGTCATGGGCCGGGTCTCTCCTATCGTCACGCGTGGCCCCAAAAAGCGGACCCATGTTCCTCTGGACTAGCATCGCAACTATGTCGGTCGTAAAATGAACCCTAGTTCTTACCCATGCCTGTCACATAGGCTTATGCGTTAGATTGAGCCGAAAAGCAAGCGGTGAGGACGATAGACGGGCCTCGATTGCCGTGGATGGCGACGGATGCTGCGGGGTCAAATGAAACATATATATAGCAGCAATGTGACAGAAATTCGAGGAAAACAGCTGGCCACTGATTGAGTACCTGTATCGCCAGACTATAAGCCAGACAAAGTCCCTATCGATCCCTGCCAGCGATCTATCCTAGCTTCTTCAACAATGGGTAGCATACACGAGGACAAGAAAATAATAACAGTAGAAGAGGAGGACACGATATGGTCCTGGAATACCGATCTACCACCAACACCCGATCGAACAATCGCTCAAGTCTTCTCTGCTCAAGTCGTTGAATCTCCGGATGCCCTTGCTGTCGAAGCGCCAGATGGCACGTTGACGTATGCACAACTCGACAACTACTCTACGCGGCTGGCCCTCCATCTTCGCACTACTCTCAGCAACGTAATGTCCGATGAAGTTGTGCCGATTTGTTTCGACAAATCCATCTGGCTAGTCGTCTGCATGATGGCTGTGTCCAAAGCTGGAATGGCTTATACAACTTTCGACCCGAATAACCCAACGGAGCGATTACATGCATGCCTGCGAATCGTCAATCCAAGGGTGATCCTAGCCGAAGAAAAATACAAGGAGAGATTTTCAGATTTCCCAGGCAACATCGTGGCGAACCTAATCGATATTTGCAGCAATCCCAGTGACGGAGAGATCATCAAGACTGACCTGCCAGTCGGTCTTCCGAGTGATCTCGCCTACGTGTGTTTCACCTCGGGATCAACAGGTTTGCCCAAGGCGGTTCAGCATACACAAAGCAGTGCAGTTTCCAACGTCGTTCATGGTCACGGTCACCAAGCCAATAGCCGTATTCTGAATTTCGCGTCCCAAGCATTTGCAGCTAGCATTGTTACAACGCTCAAAACGCTGTGCAATGGGGGTCTTATAGTTCTACCGCCAGAACGAGAACGCATGGGCGGTATAGCAAATTTCATCACCAAAAAGGGAATAACGAGAACGGTGCTGACTCCTACTGTTATGAGCATGCTGAAGCCGGAAGATGTCCAGTGCCTCGAGGCTTTGCTTGTAGGAGGTGAGCCTGTAAGCAAGCAACTCATCGACATCTGGGCGCCACACTTGACGCTCATCGAAGCCATCGGGATGACGGAGGGTGTAAGTATTGCTAATATTATGGATACTAGCGGGAAGAAGACGAGGGCGAGACAATACAAGACGGGCTGTGCATGGATTGTGGATCCAGATGATACGAATACACTGGTGCCGATCGGGGCAACTGGAGAGCTGCTTTTTGAAGGACCGGCGCTGTTTCAGGGATATAGAGACGATCCAGAAGCGAATTCTAAAGCCTTTGTGGAGGAGTTACCACTTTGGGCGAAGAAGAGAGGGGAGAACAGACCGAAGCGGCTGTTTCGAACAGGAGACCTGGCAAAGTACGTGGAAGACGGCGTCGTGCAGATTGTAGGCAGAAAAGACACACGCGTTAAGCTGTATGGGCAGCGCTTCGAGCTCGGCGAGGTGGAGAAGGCCATGATGGATTGCCTTCCCTCCGGTGCGTCTGTGGCGGCCGAGATCGTAAAACCGACGAGTGACAACGGGCCTATGCTCGTTGCATTTATCCATGGCCTTTCGACGAATTTCTCGCAAGAAATGAAACGACTGAGAGAGCGAATGACAGTTTCTCTTCCAGGATACATGGTACCGCGCGGATTCGTGGAGCTCCAGGACCGTCCGTTGAATCCATCTGGAAAACTCGACCGGAAGCTGTTGCGTCAAAGAGCAGCCGAGATGCCGTTGGTGGAATTGATTCAGCATACTGGCTCATCGGACAAGGCTGCGCCCGTGACCTCGCAAGAAAAAACAATGCAACATTTGTGGGCTACAGTGCTAGGGCTTCCCTCTGATTACATTGGCTTGGAAGATGATTTCTTCTTCCTTGGAGGAGATTCTCTGCACTGTATCAAGCTCATTGCCGAAGCAAGGAAAGAGAATGCTAGCCTATCTATTGAAGACATCCTGGAACACAGAACTCTCCAAGCCATGAGTGCGGCAGCAAGCTTTGGCGTGAAGGAGAAGTCAAGCACCATAGACAACGGAGATCGATCATCCACGCTAATTGCGATCGCCACGGGTATCCCGGAAGAAAATATCGAGCATATTGCTTTAGCGACGGACTGGCAGGCGTGGTGCATTGGCCAGGGGCTGCTCAATTCGCATGGCTGGCACGACTACATGATTTTCAAGTTTTCTAAAGCACTGCATCTCGACAGACTACGGAAAACGTGCCAGCAACTGGTAGAAAGACACGCCATTCTCCGCACAGTGTTCTTTGTCAAAGCAAAGAAGGCGTTCCAGGTCATCCTCAAGCCTGAAGCTTATCCGTTCCAATTCACTGTACAGCAATCCGGCGGCGAGGAGATAGATGAGCTTGTGAAAACGACTATCCAGAAGGACATCAAGCGGGATACCAAACTGGGAGACCCTTTGGTAGCTTTCACACTCATTGAGGATCCTAAAAATGCCACACAGCAACTGATATTTCGGATTTCCCACGCCCAGTACGATGCAATCAGCCTCAACAAGCTGTGGCGATCACTCGAAGCACTGTATCGCATGGAGCCACTGGAAGTTGTTCCCTTTACCGAATTCTGCCAGGAGGCTTCGCTAACGCACGCGGATTCTGAATCGTTCTGGAAAGAAAGGCTAGCCAATAGTTCGATGACCGAGGTCAGGTCCCATACTCGCCCGAGCGTGGACTGCCCTGTCGACAGCGTTGTAAAACGAAAAATCCCCTTGGTGGACTTGAAGGCAGCTGGGTTTACAAGCGCAACTGCTGTTCTCGCATCTTGGTCGGTGGTCCTGTCGAAGCTCACGGCTCGGGATTCCGTCGTGTTTGGCTATCTTATTTCTGGAAGACACTTGCCTATTCCGGGCATATCGGATGTTCTCGGGCCGTGCATGAATGTATTACCTATGCGTGCCGACATTTCGCCAACTGCGGAAACATCTTCGCTCCTGAACTCGGTGCAGAGCAATTATCTGAAGTCTCTCCAGCATGGTCATCTTGGACACTATCACATTATCGAAAACTGCACGAGCTGGCCCCGGTGGACACGGTTCTCTACAATCGTCAATCATCTCAGCTTTGAGATGGCCGAGCCACCATTCTCTGGAATTGGCGAGTGCGCGTTTAGTATATTGGAACCAGAGCATGACAAATCCGATCTTTGGCTGCAAACAATGGCTCGGGGCCAGGAATTAGAAATCGAACTGAGATACTCGGCAAAGGCCTTCCCGGAAGACTGGGTCGCAATGGTGACTGACTATTTTGTCCAAGTGTACGAGCAGCTACCCCACATGTTGGAGTGCAGATTGGCAAAGAATCTCCCGTTGTTGGGTACCACCTTACTCCAGAATGATGGGATTGCTCATCAACACCAAGTGGAGGAGGCTTCAGCACCATCTGTAGAACAAAGCAAAGCTCTCGAGGAACTGGTCTTGACATGTTGGGAGTCGGTTCTAGGGACTGAGTTCAGATCGCACGCTGGATTCACATATGCGACGCCGTTCTATGAGATATGGGGTAATAACATCGGAGCCGCCGCCTTAGCGTCTGAGTACCACAAGAGGGGAGTCCAGGTTAGTTGCGAGCAGGTACTAGAGCATCCTTCTGTTGGAGAGACTGTAGCATATCTACTGTTGCGTGAGAAGAGCACTACGATGCAAGATAACTAGCAGCTCTAGATCACGTACTGAACGGATGGGGAGCTCATATGTATCCATACGATCCAATTTAGCTTGTAAGCCCAATTAGTAGGAAAAATATCCACTTGGAAGCCGACTGTTTGTACTTTTACGCTAGTTCCATAGTGGCGCAAGTTTCGCTCTGTTACTTCCTCGTTCACTTACGTCAGCTTTACAGTTTGATTCTCACCTTACTTTTGAGGGGATACTGAAATGGGGAAAGTTGCTAGGGCTGGCACCCTAGTCTTTCTCACCTAAGTACCGCAGCTTTGTAGTCCTAATGTCACAACTACTATTCGCTCTTTTGAGCAGCAGCTCTTTCGCCATACTCAGTCGCATTGTATTGCAACATTTCATGATACAGAATCTTTCTTATAGTGACAGGCAGCTGAAACCGTTGATTAGCGAGGTTCTAAGCATGATAACGGGTTGCGCTATCTTGGAACCTTCTTTCCCACAAGATCATTCTGGTCTCTTCTTATTAACATATCACAGAAATGTCAGGCGTGAATATCTTAGGCTGTTAGGCAACATTTAATTACAAGTTATAGGCATTGGGCGACACATTGAAATCTTCCAGTTCATTAACGGGCGGCCAAGTTCGCGGAGACATGCATTGTAATGCATCAGGATCTTGGCATGAAACCTATAAAGAGAACTCAGTCGTTATAATCGGACGCTGGGGATGAGCCCTGGCTTACGGCCAAGCACAATCATGGCTCGATCCGTACTGTGTTATCCTTAAGTACAGTACCAGCCGCATCTGTGCGTGAAAACGCTTGAGAATTCGAGAGCCACATTCATCAAGGCATACCATCGGATATTCAGAAAATAGATATTGCGCGTAGTAATGATTGGTGCACGGTTGTGTTCGGCGCTTGGGCTGGAAATGGGTAGCAGCTTCACGGCGAAAGGGCAACTAAAACTGATTGTATTCTAGTTGAGAGCACAAGCATCTTTGCTTTGACGTCATGATCAGCATAAGGTCAGCGAGAGTAGGGCTAAGCAGCTCCATTCAGCACCATGAAGTCGGAGCCTCATCAGCGAAACCGGACAGGCCTCTCCAATTAGAGTCCTTGTTTCCAAGAGCCTCCGTATATGCTAAACCACGGACATGACTCGCATCTTAGTAGGGCCATGCAGTGACTTGCATAGCTGGTCTTAGACGTTAGTCCGTGAAATTGCAGACCTGAGTGTAGGATAGTATAGCGGTCAGCACGAGAATACATTGTTTTGATCAACACACAGTATGTGCCGTCCTTTTGCAACAAACCCGATGTTTGCAAAACCTCTTGATTGCGATACCTACCAATCCTAGATTCTGTGTCTGACTATACGCGATACGTAATACAATTTCAACGTCGAGCCTGGCACCCCAACCAAAGACTGATGCCGGTGAAGTAAATGATATGGAATTTGCCGTCCGATATTAGCGGCGTGGTAAGCACCGAACGAGAAGCCCGTCTCATGTTTTGCGACTGTCTAGATCTATGAGCAGGGATAAGAAAATGGTATTCAGAACTAAAGCAGTCTTTCGGATTCACTATAAATCAGTCGATTCCCACTCTTCAAGCCTGCCATCACTCTCGGTACAATCATCAACACGACTTCTTCGCCTCCAAGCAGACAGTATCAACCCTACCGTTCAAGATGAAGTTTATCGGCGCCATGGTGCTATTCGTAGCAACTTGCTCGGCCATCGCCCTTTCTGTTGACGGTGAGGCTCATCCGTTGCTTGTTCGTTATGTTGATGATTAGGCTAACGATCAACTGCCAGATTCTGCTTGGGCACGCAGACCAGCACAACACCGTAAATATGTACCTGAAGGCGGTAAGTAGAGCTTCGCACGAGATTAGGTGGAAGTGTTCTAGTCACAGGCTAACAACTACAATAGACTATTGCAGGAACAACGAGGAGTGCGGTCCGGGCAACCTTTGCTGCGGCACCGGCCAAGAAGGTTCCTTCTGTTACAAGGACGCATCCCCAGATGACCTTGCCTGCACTGGCTAAACATACCCGTTCGTCTTCTGAGATCGGTCTTGGGCAATACCCATGGTATTATATAGTGTATAGTGGATTAATGGGGGGGGGTTGTAATGGTCGGGCTTGCTGTTGAATCGAGAGTAGAGTTCTTAATATGTTCTATTTGCATTGTGGACGCAATCATGTAGACAGATATGTCGCAATAGATATGTTGAGGGACAGCTGTTAGTTTTATCCGCCATCTTCAACAGATGAAATAAAGCCTTGATAGTCGACAAGTTTACATCGGTCATGCTACAGAAAATGTGACCACCACTCCCATTCTGTGGTGATTAGCTTGAGCAGTGCAGAAATCATATTTTGAGCTGTGCTTGAGAACATTGCAATTTTATTTTTTTTGCAATACAATATATGGCGAAAATAAAGAGATCAAATTCAAGTAGTCTATATTTCTAGTTCTAAAGTACCGCAAAGGAGTGTGATTACAAAACTCAATAGTAATGAATGTGTTGAGAAAGAGGCTATTTCGGCACCTATGTTGACAATTGAGGATAGGATCCACCTTCTTCCTTTGTTGCAAATAACCATGTCAGCCACTTCCTGAGATGAATGTCGAGGTAGATGTGTAGTTATCTACAAAGAGATGGGAGTGCAGCCGAGGTTGATGAGGCCCTAGAATTTGTGTGTTAGTCAATGTTGTTTGTAGATGGGTGGGGGGTTTTTATTACATTCTGCTCGTATTCTCCGCAGCAAATAGCATTCTGGGTACATTGCTTGTTGGGGCTGACGATGGGGATGATTGGGACGATGGCATTGCACTGGCCAAGCAATTGGTGAAGATCGGCAACGTCAGTGATAGGAATGACTCCAATGGCCTCGATCTTTTTGGCAGTGGCAGAGTCGCAGCAGTGGAATTTGCTGTTGGCACCACAGTTGTCCTGGCGGGCTACGTTGGGAACGGCAGCGGCGACAGCGGCGAGAGCGAGGATGATAGTCTTGGTGAACATCTTGAAAGATTGTTGGTTGGTTGGTTGGTTGGAGGATGAAGAGATTGTTGAAGTGTTTGTGGAGGAGAGTGGTAGTTGTTGTAGTGGATGTTGAAGCTGATGATGGGATGATAGACTTTAGGAAGCGAGAGAAGGTGGTATTTATACAGGATCTGGTGCAAAGGCAAAAATACCCAAAGCAGAGGAATTTCGAATCATCGATGATACTCAGGAGCTTCCGGTCAGAAGAAAAGAAGAAAATACTCAAAAAGGGTGTGGACACGGACCGTCGCCACGCCAAAGCCGGCACTTAGACCGTGTTGAGGTGAAATAACAAAATACAAAAATACTCAACAGGGCGTGCACTCACACTGTAACAATACTGGTGTCCGCCCCCTGTAAGCACTGCTCTTTTTATGCTGGTGAGGCTGCAGATATTTGCCGATCAATTTTCACGGCTCTTATTTCTCATTATACACGGTTATCCATATGCCTACATTGACACAAAGTAGCGCATTGATATACTAGATTGCTTGCTTGGGGACAAAAGTGTCAGTAATATGATGCGTCCATCATACAGGCGTACAGGCCTCATTTTTGGCGTTGTTTTTTTTTAAATGACTTTGCGCTTGCGCAGGTCCTATGCGCAGGTCCAATGCGCAGTTTCACCGGTTTCGTGCCAACAGAGTCGACAATATGTATCACGCGAACGTGTGCATCACCAGCACAGACACGGTCGTAGCAACAATTCTCTCAACCAGATTCCTCAACACTGCACAAAGAATAACACATTGAAAAAAAAATCTCACCGCCATTGTGTCCACATGCCAGCGCGAACCAAGATATTTTTGCAAGCGGTCAGACGGAAAAGAAAATATTCAACTGTCTTGGTGCTCTGTCGCTACTTAGGCGAATGAACTATTGGCACAACGCATCGTTTCATTGGCTAGCTGCTATTCGCAACCCAACCCTAGCCACGACAGTACACGCGCCACGACATTGCCTGTATGAAGCTGCAGCAAACACTACGCCGCCTCGGCAAAGCATGTAGACTCACCGCCATGTAATTTAAGCTATTGGCGAACAAGAGTACGCCAAGTTCTTGGAAACAGATGCGAATAGTAATAAATTATGAACAGTAAATTCCGCCGTCGTTTGTGAGACGGGTTATACGGAGAGCTGCGACCGTGATTATTCCCATCGCAGCAACCGTACATGTCCTGCCAGTCGTCTCCAACTCCAACTAATGTCTTCTTTTCCATCTTCAGATAGCGTAATCTCCCTGATTCATTCCCGAACACTGGCCTTTCCAGTTCATATACTCGGCTACCAAGCGTTCAAGTCGCTTTGGTGCTTTATACGATTACATCGTAATGGGAATACTCGGCTACGAGGGTCTGGATGTGGTTCAGAGTGCTTTGGCACCCTTGAATCAACGCTTCTGACCAAGCACATTACTACCTGATAGGAGTAGGATGATGTATCTCATTCACATTGCAGTCTAGGGTTTGAATCCAGACTATCAAACGAGGGAAAATAACACAAGCCGGGTACATGGTCAGACCAAACCTGCTACTAAAACCGACGCAAATTGACTTTTTTGGAGCATGCAAGACACGTGACTAGCAAAACCAAGTGCTTGGTCATAAAGGGCCGAGACATTGCACACAGCAATAAGCCAAGGATGAGGTAGTGTATGAAGAAAGAATGTTGAAATTTTGCGTGGTACGCTACATATACATATCGAACGACAGGGTATCATAGACAAGACTGATGGAAAAGCCAAGGGAATACGCAAACGCCTAAAAGAACAACGACGACAAAAAAAATGGTAAGGAAAAGTCTATACAAACAAAAGTGACAAAACTCAATGCTTCCTCCTCGATCCACTTCTGCTTAATCCTAGGCGCGAAGCATACACGGGCGGGTATTCTTCTACACCATCGTCATCCCCATCAAACACGCTTACGTAATCGGTGGTGCGTCGGACGGAACGAGTAGGGCTGTGGACGATTGGGTCATCGCGAGGCTGTGTAATCTGATACCTGCTACTCTCCGAAGGCCGAGTGGGCGGGGGCGCACTGTCTCCATTGCGCACATCCCAAGGATCATGTGTTGGAGACGTTACCGAGGTTGGTGAAAAGGGGTTGTCTTGTGTGATGGATGCACGTCGAGATGATGAAGGACGCGTGTGATCTTGATTGAAGTTCTTTGGAAAAGAAAGTGGCGGTGGCGCGCGTGTACGTGTGCTTGGTGACCGAACAGAGTAGTCCGCAGATGATTGAGTGTTGGCAGGAGGCGGGCTTGGTTGTGAGATGCTTGGTCGCCGCTTACTGGAGGTGCGGCTGAGGCCAGAGGGACGTGTAGTAGAGGCAAAGCTATCGTGACGTGGCATGGTACTACGTTGCGTCGTGCTAGCGTTATTGTTGTTTGATAGAGACCGGTCGCCGCCCCGAGGATCATAGTACGTTGATGCCTCCTGTTGTTGTCGAGCAGCGGCTCTGCGTTCTTCCCGCTCACGAGCTTCTGCAGCCTGCTTCTCACCCTGCATGAAAAGACTGTCTGCTTCTAGAAGGCGTCGTTGTTCTGCTTGCTCTTCAGGTGTCATCAGTGAAGACAGCCTTCGAGAATTGGATGGTCGCTTTGTGTGCTCAGTGGCTGGAGGCTTCGATCTTTCCTTCTTGCGCTCTTTTGCTCTCTGTTCCTCGAGCTCCTTCCTCTCCTGCTCCAGACGCTCGGCCTTTTTGCGCTGGCGTTCTGCTTCCCTGGCGGTGGCACGATCCTTTTCCTTTTCAGCCAGTGCTCTCTCGCTTCGCTCTTTGGCGCGAGCTTCGTAGCGGCCAAGTTCGAAGCGAACGTGCTTGTCGTTCTCAGCCTTTGCAGCATCATCAGTCCTCTTTCGGTCGGCATCGTCTTGGTAGCTAAGATCTTCGCTCAGCTTCTTTCTTCGTTCACTGGTATTCTTGGTGGGTCGCGTGGTTTCGGCTACACCAGAAGTTGCACGAGAGGGGTTGGGATAGTCGGCGTACTGATCGTAATCAAGCGGATGCAGGCTGCTGGGGGCTGGGTCGTCGTGGGGAAGGTCCCTTGGTGCGATCCTCTTGACCTTGTAGGAGCCTGAGGATGGTGCCTGCTGCGGCTTTGTTGGTGATGAAGGACCAACGGTAGGGTTGTGGATTATAGTAGCAGACGGACGGGTAGCTCGACGAGTAGCGGGCAGATCAAAGTCTGCTTCCGATGGTATGGTCAGCGAAGGGGTTTGGCTCGAAGATGCCGATGGGGTGTACGGGCTGTAGTATCCGTGTGGCATAGGAGGAGTAGGAAGGAAGGTATTGGGCTGGTCATAGGCGGCCGGAGGAGGTAGAGGGGCTTCGGGGAAGCCAGTGCGTAGGGTGTACGAAGCCTCTGAGTCTGCAAAGTCCACTGCTGCGTCATTAGACCCGAGGGAGCCTAGTGACGGGTGTTTCTGATTTTTTGTCGAAAAGGAGACGGAGGAGTATTTGCCTCCCTTTCCTTTCTTGGAACCGAACTCGATGATGATCTCTGGGTTGATGCGCTGGCCATCTCGAGTAGAAGGGCGGCTGCCACTGTTGGATGGACGACGGCGTTGGGTAAGATAGGTACCGGTACCCGTAGGTGTAGGAGGATTTACGGGAGAGGGTGTATCATCGCGTGATGCTGAGCCTCTCGTATGTGTGTAGGAAGGGGGCACTCTCCGTACGTCCCGGCATGTTTTCCCACTGCGCGCTTTGTCGCAGTAGTAGGTATGGCCTTCTTCGATCCGGCACATGGTGACAACAAGGGTGGAGTGCCAGATACAAGTGACTTAGGATGACCGAGGGATGTACAAGCGACGTTGACCCAAAGGCTGGCGGCCCTTGGCTGACGATGTCCAGTCGGGTGTTGGGAAGTGTTGTCAGGCCAACTTGTCCGAGTTGATCAGGGTAGGAAATGGGTAACCAAGTTGGATGTAGCTGGATTCAAGGTCGGAGGGACGGCTCGCGCGCATGTGGCACCAAAGGAAGATGTCAGTTTGAAAAAAGAGAAGAGTGTTCCCGGCGTGCTAGGGGTAGTGGGCAGGTGTTGGGAATTGAGCGTATTTATGGCGCGGATGATGGCCTGGCTGAGACAAGCGCCGGACGAGGTGGGTTGTATATATGCAGTCGAGGGAGGTGTGGACGCAAAAGCGAAAGAGTCAGAGAGGCAAGCGGGCGATGATCAAGACAGCCTGCACAGAAATGGGAACGGGTACATGCAATGCAATGGCGTGGATGAGTCAAGTGCAGCCCTACTGGGCGAGCGGGAGCTTTTTAAAGTGTTTGGCGGTGCTGAGTGTAGGCTGAAGCAACATGGGCAGCGGGAGTGGACATGGGACGGGCCTCAGCAACGAGCACCAACGCCAGGCTCCAGCGACGGGCAGGATGGGTGATTGCATGAACATGATCCGGGCGGGCTGGGGGCCGCTTGTTCTGGTGCGCAGCGGTGAATTGCACAGCCCGCGAGCGACCGAAGACACGGCCCACCCACGAGGCAACCCTGGTCGCGACCGGTGTCGTGTGTGTGTGTGTGTGTGTGTGTCTGGCAGCCGTGAAGAGGGGGGGAGAAGAGCTGATGGCGTTGGGGTGAGCAAAAATCCGTCGAGCGCGCAAGCCGGTTTGCGCATCCGCGCGTCGGCGGCCATGTCTCAGACTCGATGGGCAGCAATGGTAAGCTGCCGACGGTCGAGGGGCGCGGCGCCCATAGTGGCGACCCCTGTGCGCGCCCTTGGCCCCGGCGATATCACTCTTGCTCTGGGGCAGAATTGCGCGCGGAAGGCCAGGGCCAAATGCTGGGGGGTTTTTTTTTGCCGTGGTGGGAGCGGGAGCGGCAGTACAAGTGGTGGTGAGCAGTCGTCTTGGTTGACGGCATCCGGATGCAGTGCCATCAGCTGCAAGGAAAAAAAAGTTGGCGAGCGGAGGTGGAGGCTATGCAGTCATTCCCGTATCGCCAGTCAGGATGGCAGCGACGCCAGGCACGCGAAGGCTGCGATTTGCTGCCTGGCCCCTAATGCGCGGCCATATTGAGGTGCTTTGGTGATGGTGGTGGTGGTGTGGTGCGGTGTGGTGTGGTGGTGGTGATGGTGCAGATGCAGGTAGAGTGCGGGTGGGGCCCCATGCGAGCCGTGGCCGTGTTGCATACTGGGGGCGCGCAATCCTGCTGCCGCTGTTGCTGCTGCTGCTGCTGCTGCGGCCGGCGATGATGATGTGCATGGCTGGTCGGGTTGCTCGACGGCGCCCTCGTTGTCACTGACGGGGGCCGCGTTGGAGTGCCTGAGAGGCAAAGCCAAAAAAAAGATGCCAAAAAAAACGGCTGACCGTCATAGGCCCACGGGCGCCTTGCTGCCTTGAGCCGACTGCACTGCCCCCAGCCAGTAGGCGTGCGGGCATTTGCATCGTCTGGTCCCTCGCGCGTTGGGGGCTGCGTGCACGGCGCGTGATAGGCTGGCGTGCATGTTGATGCTGCGGCGCTCAATATGCGACACGGCCGATGGACAGAGCAGCCACATTGGGCAGGCAGGGCGCGCCACAGCGGTGAGCAGCCACAGCGGTAAAATAGCCACCCTCAAATCGCTCTCTTGGCAGCGCACGCTCTCGGCCCCGTCCTGACAAATGCCCAGCGTATTACTGTACACGGCGAGCGAGACGGTCCAGCGAATTCTCGAACCCGCACCCACATGGCAGTTGCATGCATAGTCCAAGCACGCGCCGCGCTGCGTGGTGGTGGTTGCCGTCGATGCACCAGCCAATCACCAGCCACAGCGGCGCACCACCACCCTGCTCACCAGCCACACCCTCCCGCTCAGCCTCACGCACACATGGGCGTTCGCACTAGCAGTTCGGCGCCCACAAAGTCCAGTGCAATTGACAAAGCGACGACGTCGCGGCCATTGGAAGTAGCCTTGCAATCTCCACAACCCTCATGGCGTGAAACACATGTATAGATACCCAAGACACCCTGCTCGTCACCTGCATCCGCACGCACACCACCCGTCGGCAATAATAATAGCTGCGCAGAATATACTGCATCGCGCAATCATGGCTACCCAACCGGTGCTTTGGGCACATGTGTACCCAGCTCCCGTCGCCCTCACCATCTCCCCCCCCCCCACCGTTTCCGTACCGTTCCGTCTCGCGTTACTCTCTCGTCAGCAAGCTTGACTTTGAGCCCAAACTTTGAGCGCCAGCCTGATGCAGGAACAATAAGCTTCCCAACACGGCCAACATGGCAGCTGAAACGCCCTCAATGCCGAGCGCAATTGGACGCTGTATGCCCCAACATGTTGGTACCGCGATGATGCCCTTTGATCCGCACTACCACTACCACTCCCATGCTATCCACCGCTAGCAAGGCTCTCCCTAGCACGAGCCTCGCTAGCACGGCACCCGACAGCTTGCACATCCGATTGGCCACGCCATCCCCCACCACCTACAAACTCTACCTTGATTGTCCCAGCCGTAGTATCTAGTAGTAGCCGAGCATCTGGCTTTGTCCAAGTAGCAATGGCTATTACATCAGCCGCGCCATCAAACGCCCTACAGTAATACCGACGCTGCGCATGCTCAACGCCATGGCAAAAAATAACATCAAACACTTACATATACTCCATACCAAAAATCATACACCTACCTACCTACCTACCTACCTACCTACCGAGACCAAAACAATACCTACCTCGCGGTGCTTCCTCGGACCCGGACTAAAAAAATAACCACACACACACTCTCTCTCTCTCTCTCAAAAGCCACAGTCATACCGAGCATGCATCCGCTCTTCCAATCAACCCCTTGTATTCGTATCCCGCACCAGTAGTAGGCAAAGAAAGAAGAAGAATGGAAAATGGGTATCCCCCGCCCCCCCTTGTCATTGTGTCACTCGCACTACAACCCATTGCTCTCTAGCGAATGACATTGTCTCGGCCCGCGCATGCACACATGCTTTTGCGCCGACCCAACTCGGTACACACACACACACACACATGAACCACCCCACATTATTTTAGTAGCTCCCTGGCATTCTTCCAGACCAACTATCGCGTCCCGCGCTTCCTGCTCTCGGGGACTTTTGTGTCGTGTGCCCAGCAGCCTGTTTCGCTTCTCAAGGCAAACCTTTTTATTCTTTCTTTCTTTCTTGCCCATCAAGGTAGCCTTGGCACACGTGATTTTTCTGGCCGTCCTCATTACAGGTGGCTTGGCAGTACTTTACTGCTGCCAAGAACATGGTGAGCACGCACAAATGCTTTCATGCTAAACTATATATATATACCTAAGTATGTGTATTCATCCACTAGAGAGAGAGAAAAAAACACTTGATGGCCAAAAAACAGTGATACTTACCCAATCAAACACAGAACCAAAAAAAAGACTATCAATGGTACCATGAGTGCACATACTATACAGCTTCACATTGCACAAGGGCTAAAAAACTCATACACATATCAACACACCCTTCTAATCGCCCCTCAAGGCACTCGCAACTCCCGGAAAGCCTGGGGGCGCGCTATTCTTGCCTTGTGGCGTTACACTCTCCAGGAACTGGCTGAACCTCACCGCCTCACCACTCTGCTCGTCCAACTCTTTGACCCCACTCCTGCCCATAGTCGACGTGAGATTGCGCAAAGGATCCTCGTCGACGTGCTCTCTGACGGGTGGTTTGTCGTCGAGCTCGCCCCGCGCCACGGCCATTTCAGCGCCCGTCGACCGCTTCAGCTTGATGTGGATTCTGCCATTGTTCGTGACGCTACCAAATAGCGGCTCCACCGCTATCTTCCTGCCCCCAGGCGTGTCAATGTCAATTGTTTCCACATCCTTTGCGCCAGGCAGGTTGGCCCGAGCCACAGACATGGTATCTGTGTTCCTGTACTGGTCGTTGGCCACGAACCCGCCTACTCCCAGCCGCGCGTAGATTTCGCTCTTGATGCCTGTACGCCGGGCTTGCACCACACGCGCGGGAACAGGCGCCGTCCTGGCTTGTGGGCCGAGAATCGGATGGTTGGGCAGGTAGGATTTTGTGCGGAGGTAGCCCAGACCTGCGCTGGGGTGTGTCGACAATGGTGCCGCTTCTTGATCAAACGCATATTGATCCACGTCACGGCTGGATGCGTCTTGCGAGTAAGACTTGTACTTGAACTTGATGGCCGGCAGCTTCAGGAAGGGAAGAACCAGTTTGCTGACGAGCTTGCTTGCCAAGGGGTCGTTTGCAGTTTCCTTGCGCAGAGCCTTGATGCCCGCCTCGATTTCTTGCTGCGTGATATGGCGCCAGGCCTTTTCTTGTTGCCTGTGCCATTTTTCGGCTTCTTCAATGTCCATTGGTGGCGTCTCCTGCGACTTGGACGCGGCTAGGCGGCGGGACGTGTAGATTTCGTTCTTTACAAACTCGACTAGATATTTGTTGAACTCCTTCTTCCGGGCGGTGATTTCTTTACTGAGATAAGCGACAAAGTCGTCAGCGCCCATGCCCGGTAGCCAAGGGCCGTCATGCTTCCACCGCTTGGTGTTGTGCACGATGGGATCTATGGGGGGCGGAATGAATGGTGTAAACGGCGTGGAAGCCGAGCCACTGGACGCTGCTAGTCTCTGTTTCAGGGCATTCTTTTCCTTTTGCTGTTCTTGCTCAAACGCCACAAACTCGTCCAGCCAAGGCACAGAAGCCAGTGCCTTTTCAGCAGGCAGGGAGGCTTTTGTCTCGACCCATTGTCGCCAGAGACTTTGCTGAGCTGCACGCATCTCTTTTGAAAGCGCCTTTGTCTCGGCGACTCGCTCGGCATGGTCAGGGTCAGTGAGCCCACGCGTCTGCCATTCTGCCTTCTTTGCCGCCCATTTTGCGTCCCAAGGCACGCGGAAAGCCTTGAGCTCCACCTCGAATGCTTTGCTGCGCGACGTGCGAGCCTGCTTCCTTGCCTTGTTTGCCTCTTTCTGGAATGCTTCAAAGTCGGCGAGCTGGGTGCCCCACCCACGGGCCTGCCAATCTGCCTTCTTCTCTTCCCACCTCTGTGCCCAGGTGGCATTGAACGCCTCCCACTCGGCTTTGTTTCGCTCTGCAGGCATGCTTTTCCTCAGCGCCTTGAGGTACAAGCCAGCTTCGTCCAGTCCCAAGTCAGTATCATAACTTGTTGTATCATCGCGAACCTCAAAGGCCCCTCCAGGCGGTACCCCGCTCAGGTCGAAATCCCGCATCTGCGACATGCCCTTCATCATGGGCACTCCCATCTCTTCCCACTTTTCCCTTGTCCGTACATGGTCGGCGGCCGAGTCAAAGTCGGTGACATGCTCAATCGTGTCCAGCTGCGTCACCCTCAGCACTGGATCACTGACTTGGACAAGGTGACTCCTTGACGGAATCGCCCGCTTCAGGCCCCAGTCGCCACGCGCAAGAGAGGCTTTTGTGGTAGCAATGGCTTGGTGTGTGGGGTATGGTAGCGTTGCTGTATCGGACGCCTTGGTGAGGCCCGCGCCAAAGGTCTCGCTAATTGGCGGCCGTGGGAGCGGGTTGGGGAGCGAGAAAAGTCGGGAATTCCGGAGCAGATGAGATGTCGGGGAGAGGGATTGGCGGCTTAGAGCCATGTTGGCGATGCGACAGCCGCGTGTTGGCGTTCAATGGCGGCTGAAGTGCTGTCTTTGTTGGCTGCAAGCAAATGTCGAGATGGATTTGCGGCGTGGTGGTCCGTGCGCACCTCCGCGGCTTCTGTGTGCATTATGGCGTTGGGCCCATGCCACATGTTCGTGAGTGCAACAGGCGAAAACTATATTGTATGTATGATTTTGCTAATTTTATCTATCTGCAATGTTGAGACATGATGTCTAATTATATTATCTCACTTTCCATGTAAATGCTTTTGCGACTTGCATTGGACAAGATGGCCCTGTGAACCCCAATGTGTCCAGTCTGTAATCCGGTACTTATACAGTCTTTTTGAAGTGGTGCTCTTCTAAAAATGATACATATTCCACAGCGTCTGTTGCTCTGCGTCACGATGCAATAAGTGTATCCCTGGCGTGCTTCTCGATTGGCTGATCTCTCGGGACGGAGGCCAAGCACATGACTTGCACTGGCATGGTAAGCCTGTTGCTGTTTTTTTTTGTGGTTGGTGGTGTAGAAACACTCAGTGATGGGTTTCGCAGATCATCCTGGCAGGTGCTTGTCCCAATCCTGTGCATCATTCTCATCCTCGTCCTCGTCGTCACTGCCGTCATCTTTGGGTTTTCTGTTGAGGCGTGGGACGTGGCCTTCAATGGCCATGGTGTGGTCGGAGGTTTGACTGGGCAGCGAGGGCGGTTGTGGGGGCGCGCTGGTGGACTGGCGCTCCATGATGTGGTCCTGGACGAGATCGCTGTTCACTTTGCTAACCTGGCCCGACTTCTCTCCTCGCTCGAGAGCCAGGTCGGCCATGGCGTCCTCACGAGCCGCCCAGGCCGCCTTGACGTCGTCGTCTTCGTCGCGGTCTGCGGTGGATGCCGTGTCCTGCTTCGGGCGCAGAGGCAGCGCCATTCGGTGCTCGTCCTCGTTTTCCACCATGAGTTCGATCTTGTCGCCGTAGCCGCCCTGGCGCAGCCACGCAGGCTCCTCGCTCAGCTGCACCTTGACGTACAGCGCCCGTTTTGCGCAGTCGTCTGAGCACCACACCTCGAGCACCTTGCGGTCGACAATCTGCACGCCGTCGTCCGTGTCGACAAACTGCTTCCTTGCCGTGGAGCGCGCCTTCTTCTTGGGCCGCGAGCACAGGGCATAGCCGCACTTGTCGGCAATGTTGCGCTCCTCGATGAGGGCATCGTAGTCGGCGGGCTGGAAGGGGACGACGGCCCTCTGGAAGAATCGGGCGTCCGAGGGGGTGGGCCGCCTTGCATCGGCGTGGGGCGACGTGGGAAAGTCCATCAGCGCCATGACGGCCTGCAGCACCTCGGCCTCGACGCGCTTGCGGTCCTCGAGCACAGAGGCGTGGTGGCGGGCAATGGCGAGATGGCGCGGGTTGACGGGCTGTCGTCCAGGCGCGGCGCCGGCGGCCGACGCCTTGAGGATCGACTTGGGCGGCATGTCGAGAGCCGGGCGCGGGCCGTGTGCGTCGATGATGGCAATGGTGTTGCGATCGTCGTTGCCAAAGGAGCAGTGGACCGCCGTGCGCCAACTGCCAAGCTGGGCGTCGGGCTGCGCGGGGCTGTTTTGAGCTTCGTCACCACACTTCGCACGAGGCACCCGCGCCCGCCTCCCACCCTTCCACCCCCCTTCACTCCCCTTCGCCCTCCCCCCTCGCCGCCCACCCGTGTATGGGCGCAACCAGTGAATGGTATGCTGCCCCATCCTTCCGCGCCTCCCGCCGTCCCTCACCCGCTGACACACGCGTCATCGCAGCTAGCCAGACGTCCGCAGCCCGCCGTGCACTACACCCTCGCCTCCCCCCCCCCCCCGAGAGCTTCCACCTGTGCCTGCGGTAGTCCCTCTGTTCAGCCCGAGGGACTGCAGCCGTCGGTCTTTGTCTCGCGAGCCCCGTGCAGCTGGAGCCCGTCATCGCCGCCAACCCACGCCCGCCCGCCGCCATGTACAAGGTCAAGGCCGTCTACGACTACTCGTCGCCCCACGAGGACGACCTCGACTTCAAGGCTGGCCAGATCATCGCCGTCACCGAGGAGGAGGGCGACGACTGGTATGTCGGCGAGTACACAGACAGTGCCGGCAACAAGCACGACGGCCTCTTCCCCAGGAACTTTGTCGAGCGCTACGAGCCCGAGCCGCCGCCACGACCCAATCGGGCATCACGACACAAGCCATTGGAACCGCCCGCCGCGCAAGAAGCACCTCCCGTGCCCCAGGTGGCCCAGCAGGACCCCGAGCCAGTCAAGCACGAGGCCCCCGAGCCGCCCAAGCCCCAGCCGCCTCCGGTAGAGATCCCGGCTGCCGCCAAAAACACGCCTCTGCCCATGTCGCCCATGTCGCCCATGTCGCCCGCGTCTGCATCCAATGCAAAGTCACCGGCGCCATTGCACGCGCAGCCTGAGGCAGCGAAGCCGCCTACACCCGCCAAGAAGGCCCCGCCGCCCGTCGCTGCCAAGTCCAATGCCTTTCGAGATCGCATCGCGGCTTTCAATACTCCCGCCGCCGCCCCGATCCAGCCATTCAAGCCTTCGGGTGGCGCGCCCACCAGCTTTATCAAGAAGCCATTTGTTGCTCCCCCACCCAGCCGCAACGCGTACATACCTCCTGCTCGAGAGGCCCCGCCAATCAAGACTTATCGCCGCGAAGAAGACCCCGAGATTGCAGAGCGCCAGGCGCGAGACCAGAATGACGCTGAGCGTGCTGGCCTCGTTTCCCATGACACTGCGAATTCCAATGAGGGCGAGGAGCCACAGCAGCCCAAGATCAGCTTGAAGGAACGAATCGCTCTTCTTCAGAAGCAGCAGCAGGAGCAGGCCGAGAGGGCTGCCGCAATGCAAAAGGAGAAGCCCAAGCGGCCACCTGTAGCGAAACGGCCTGGGTCTCAGGATGCCCAAGCTGACGATAGCGAAGACACTGGCCTGGAACGGGTGGGTAGTGGGACTTCCAAGCCTCGTGCGTCAGTGGACCAGGCTCGTCCACGTACGTCACAGGATGTCAAGTCTCCCGATTCACAGATGCGTAACCGCGAGCTGTTCAGCGAGAATGATGCCGATCAATCAGGCGCCGGCGATACGGAAGATGCAGGGGCTGAGTCTACAAGCGTCGAAGACGATGAGGACAGACCAAAGAGTAGACATCCGCCTCCACCAGCACCTCGAGCTGCTGCTGCCCCGGCGCAAGAGCCCGATGTTGGCGATGAACAAGATGCAGCTGAAGAAGACGAGGAAGAGGAAGACGAGGTGGATGCCGAAACAAGACGGAAACTGGAGCTGCGCCAGCGTATGGCTAAGATGAGCGGGGGCATGGGAATGCCCGGCATGTTTGGCGGTGTACCTATGGGTGCTCTTCCTCCAAAACCCCCAAAGCCTGCAAAGAAGAAGTCGATCACGGACAAGAAGGTCGAGGAATCAGAGGGATATACTTCGCCTCAGCAGCCAGTGCCCATGTTCCGCATTCCTCCTTTGCCACAGGCACAGGCACAACCCCAGGGTCAGGAACAGGACAACCGCTCACTTTCTGTGGAAAAGGAAGAAGAAGTACCACCCCCAGTGACTGGTTCCCATGCAGCAGACGAGGTACCCGATGTAGAGGATGTTGTCTCCCAGCCGGTCGAGCGCACACCCACTGCCGAGGGCCCCCCACCGGTGCCATTAGACAGTAAGTTCCTGGTTCCTCGCAAGTCGATTTGCGCCTTCACACAACATGGCCAAGACTACCTGCAGCTGCCATTTCCCGAGACACTGTCAAAGACCTATGTTACTTGTGACGGTGTGTCGGAATATGTCATGACTGTATGCGTGTCTAGTATGTGTGTGCATTGAGCTTTGTATCTTCGGTGTCACTGGAATGCGAGTCTGACACATTATAGAACGGCCTGCACCCCCACCAGTACCCTCAACGTGTAAGTTGCATGTTACGAAACCTTGACTTTGTCTGACACTGTCTAGCTCGACCCGCACCACCGCCGCCTCCACAGGTCTTATCACCAGGCCCTGGCTCCGAGTCTGGTGACGAGTTGACAGATGCCGCTAACACGCCATCTGCTTCTTTCCAACCGCCACTTGCAAAGCGGACTTCTTACTTTTCCACTGGTGAGCCATCACACGATTTATCCGAAAGGCGCGTACCGCCCATTCCGGGAACGGGCCCTGGATTTCCATCAGCAAGCCGACCACCTCCCCCGCCACCACCTCCTCAGGCACCCCCTTCGCGCCACGGAGAACTACCCATACGCAAACTGGATCGAAATGAGGGGGAGACAGACTACGAAGGCGACTACGATACGGACATGGCGCCAGAGGCAACTCACAAGGATGCTTTGAAGTCACATGCTAGGAGTTCGAGCGTCGAAGAGGACACGGCAGCAGACGAGCCAGTCTTGGGACGATCACCAACTATACCTCACGGTATGCCACCGGTACCTCCTGTCCAGCGTGCAATGCCCCCACCTCCTCCACCTCAGCAGCCGCCCGGTCGATCGTCAGTCGATGTTCCTCGTGGTGCTCCTCCTCTGCCGCCAATGGCACTGCCAAACCGCAATGCTCAGCCCGGAGGGGATGATGATGACGATGAATATGATCCCTTCAAGTATTCGGGTCCTCGCCCGACCAGTTCACCTCCAGCCTCTAGAGCAGCCCCGCCGCCTCCACCAGGTCAACCTCCTCTGCCACAAAGTCGTCCTCCACCGCCTATGCCTCCATCTGGTCCTCCCACTTTGCCTAATCAGAGAGCCGAGTCAGAGGACGAGGATGAGCTGTACTCATCACCTCCACCTCGAAAATCTCATGATCGTGCGCCACCCCCACCCCCTCAGGTTCCGCCCCATCAACATGCTCCTCCACCTCTTCCCCACCAGCATGGGCCACTTTTCCCATCTCAAGAAAGAGGCGCGCCGCCGCCGCCGCCTCCTCCTCCACAAGAGGCTCAGTCTCCGCTGATACCACCCATGGAACCACAGCCGCGGTTATTGTCGAGTCGGAAGTCACTTGACGCGGGTCATTTGATGGCTACACGGTCGTCGATGGATCAGGCCCGTCCGACTTCTATGCTGCATCAGGACTTCATCGCGCAGGAGCTTGATCTCGGTGCTTCATCTCATTGGTGGACTCAGCCGAACTTGTTACCGCCATCATTGCAAGGCCGTAAGGATGTGATTGTCGACATGAAGGAATCACAGTCGGGCAACACTGTAGAGAAGTTGATCAAGGTCCTGTACCTCGACTACTCGCAGACGATCATCTCTGCTCGCTTCGAGGCGAATAATGTCTCTGACGTGGACCTTGAACAACGCACGGAGCCGCCGCCTCCTCGCCAGCGTCCTGATCAGCTTGAGAGCGCGTATGAGCAGTTTGGCCGGCAGATTGCCAAAGCCATTGAATCCAAACAAAACACGGTTGTTGGAAATGGCGCACCTCATGTGCTGATTGTCGAGCTGCTCAAGCCTTTTAGTGACGCTCTCCCGCCAATCTCGACTCGCTCGTACGGTGCTCTCGTTTACGCCAACTTGGCCAACGCGTCGACGCAGTCTTACGACGAAATCCGGCCTGGTGATATCATTAGCTTCCGCAACGCCAAGTTCCAGGGCAAGACGGGACCGATGCATGCCAAATACAGCATGGATGTGGGCAAGCCGGATCACGTAGGCGTGGTAATCGAATGGGATGGCAGCAAGAAAAAGGTTCGAGCATGGGAACAGGGGCGTGAGCACAAAAAGGTGAAGACGGAAAGTTTCAAGATGGGGGATTTGAGATCCGGGGAAGTACGCGTTTGGCGTGTGATGAGTAAGAGTTGGGTTGGATGGAATTAGGGAGATGTACAGTTTGCGACGAGGACGGACGGCCGATGGCAGTGTGGTTGGTAGTCCGTGGGTGTGAGGGTGTATCGTTTGGTAGTCTTGAACAGTCTATTGCAATCGTGTCTAGAAGCATGTGTGTAGATGTTTTGTATCTTGTGGCGTATGCTGGACTGAGGAGTCATTGTACACATACATATGAGCGATGACACGAATCAAACTTGAGACGAACAAGACCAGGAGTAGTTTCCGCCTCGGAGCGTCAGTGCTGGGCATGAAACGGGGTTTGCAGCTTACTAGAGCCCACAGACAAAGAGGTTTCAGATTTCATGCTGATGAAGAAAAGTTTGTCGCCATGTAGAGATTACCTCGTGGTGCGAGAGGAGAGTTGAGCTTTGCGTGCACGTGTGCGTGAGATGGTGCCTGGACCGTGAAAGACGAGGTATTGACGTACATGTAACAGATGGACAGGGTGATGGACATGGCTGTATAGGGATGGGCTTGCTGACATATCCACCTGCGGCTTTAGTTGCCACAAGGAGTGTTTACGCTATCCAGCCAGAGCAACACACTCACAGTGGTGACGTCGCATGTGCATGCACCCGCATCCTTTGCCGCCACGCCGAGTCCCTCGTTCGCTCAACCTCAACCGCATTTTTTTTCAGTGCTTCCAAAAGCTAAAGCCGTGAAACGGCGATGAGCATATGCTGAGTAACTCGCTCGGCTGGCTTCACTAGACACATGGCCGGCGTTTGGCTAGGCGCCTAGGCGAGGGAGCCGGCTACTGACGATTGTGATTGTGCCTTAAGCCCGCTCCGCCGCCGTTCACGTCGACCTAAACTCCGGGAATAATGCCCTGCATGACCTCTCAAACAAATACCGGGGCGCTCGTCGCCATGCCCAGGCCACGACTCTCGCAGCTTTCACCGCCGAGTCTACACCAGCATCCATGACAACCGCTGCTCCACCGCCCGACAGTCCTCGCCTCGAGGCAACGTATGCAGAGGCCGACAAGACAAACGACGACACCAAGCTCTCGAGCGACACCTCTCGAGACATTGAGAAAGGCTCCGGCGACGATGCGCCCGCTACCACAGAAACGGACCGCTTCTTCGTCGAGTTCCACGGCCCCAACGACCCCAACTGCCCCAAAAGCTGGACCGCCAGCCGAAGATGGGCCATCACAGTGTCAATGAGCCTTATGGTCTTCACTGTCACCTTTGCCAGTTCAATCTTCAGCGTAAATCTCGTCGTGGTACAGGAAAAGTTCAACGTCAAGTTGATCACGGCTACCCTCGGTGTAGCCCTCTTTGTCCTGGTATGTCAAATCTCCCCTACTTACACCTGCTACTTGCCCAGCATCGCCGTGACTAACTAAGCCGACAGGGATTCGTCTTTGGGCCAATTGCTTTCGGGCCCATGTCCGAAGTGCTGGGGCGCAAGATACCCCTCATGTCTGGATTTGCCCTCTTTGCCATTTTCCAGATTCCCGTTGCGCTTGCACAGAACATCGCAACGGTATGCGTTGGCCGTTTCCTTGGCGGCTTCTTTGCTTCAGCGCCTCTTGCAGTGGTTGGCGGAGCCCTTGCAGATCTGTGGGATCCTATTCCTAGGTCCTATGCTATTTGTGTTTTTGCCGCGGGCGGTTTCGCTGGGCCCGTAGCTGGCCCAATAGCAGGGGGCTTTATCACCGAGTCGCATCTTGGCTGGAGATGGACATCCTGGATTACTCTGATCATGGCTGGTCTCTTCGGCACCATTGGATATCTCGTCATACCGGAGACTTCGGCAGCCCGGATACTGCAACTCCGAGCTGCCCGTTTACGCAAAGAGAGGGGTGATGAGCGATACCACGCCGCAGCAGATGCAAACAAGTTGACGGTCGATAAGGTCGTCAACGTCTACCTACTAAGACCCTTCATCATGTTTGTACAAGAGCCCATCTTGGCACTTGTAACGGCCTACATGAGTTTCCTGTATGGCATAGTCTACCTTCTTTTTGAAGCTGTAAGTTTGGACACCATACCGCTAGCAGTAAGCTTACAATCCCCCTAGTTCCCAGTCTCCTTCTACGAAGAGCGCGGTTGGTCTCTCGGCGTGTCTCAGCTACCCTTTGGCGCATTTATTGTTGGAATCATCATGGGAGCCGGCCTCATCGCCTACAGTTCTGCTACAAACTTTACACTTGCATTCCACAAGCACGGTAAAATTATCCCAGAGGAACGCCTCCCTCCCATGATCATCGGCGCCATTGCTCTACCAGTTGGTCTCTTTTGGTTTGCCTGGACCAGTAATCCTCACATCCTCTGGGTACCACAGGTCCTTTCTGTCGCCTTGCTCGGTTTCGGCTGCATGGTTCCTTTCTGGCAGGGAATGAGCTACCTGATTGACTGCTATGGGTTCTATTCCAATAGCGCCATTGCCGTCAACACGTTCATCAGATCGTTTGCTGGAGCCTTCTTTCCTCTCTTTACCCACGCCATGTATCATAAGTTGGGTGTTCCGTGGGCGACAAGTCTACTGGCTTTTATCTGTGTTTTCTTCATCCCTGTTCCAATTCTGTTCTACATCTATGGGGCCAAGATCAGGACAAAGAGTAAGTGGTCGCCTCAAGCCTAGTGTGCATGGAGATTTAGCATCTTGGTATTTTGCAGTCCAGCACGGCGAATGTAAATTTCTAGTTTTATCCCTCTGCTTGTTTTAGAGGCTTAAGCTATAGTTGTGGTATCTGTGCAGCTTGACTCGTATTGCTTCCCCGAATCTGCTAGCCACTATCCTGAGTACCCGCGACAAATTTCTACTGCGTACATGTAGACTCTCGACAACATTTTTTATACGTATACTGACATGTGGCCGTTCGTGATGAGAAACATGGACAGGTAAGAAATAAGAACGACACATCTTTCGGCATCGTCCGGCGTCATATTAGCTACGCATATCTCTCATGCATTCTTGGGTAGCACAGAACACTCGTGGCTTCTATCACTCTCCTGTATACAATTTGACAGCCTTGCGGTAGCATTTGCACTCGATCCAGTCCATGTATACATGTACTCCATGGATATCGATAGGTATTTTTTTGATCGAATATATCTTCTCTCCCTGTACGTGATTCGATACCCGAACGAAAGAAAAAAAATCCATAGAACCTCGAAAGTAAATTATGGAGATGAGGTGGCGCAGAACATAAGAGAACATTCAGCTCCGAAAAGGTATTCATTCTACAGATAGATAATACCATGGCTGACAGTCCAGTGCGCAAAAACACCACCACGTGGGCGAAATCTACATGTTATTTTACTTTTCCTCTCTCGTTGATATCACATTCGTGAGCTGGATCGCATCGTCGACGAGATTATTCAGCTGGTCGAATTCGCCCTGAAGCCACCTATCGAGCAAGACTTGGTCTTCGCTAACGAATGTCTTGCGTTCAGCAGGTAGAACCTTTGTGCATTCCTTGAGGTCATTGATATTGTTGACGCCGAGCAACGAGAGCCGAGTGTAAGCTTTAGCATAGTCCTTTTGCACTCTGTTAGCACGGGGTTTGTTCCAAGGCGCAAAGTTGGAAAAAAAAAACCACTTACCGCATTCCATCGTCCCTGTGCAGTGGCCCTATCGCTGAACTGTGCCCACGACCCGCTCGTCCTCGAATCCTTGCTCAAGTTGATGTCGCTCTGGAACTTGAGCACACGTGGAGGGGCGTTGTTCGTGACCTGCGGGTAGAACGCCATGTCCCATATACCGGGCGTTGAGTCTTGCGGGTCGCCATCACGAGTAGTGTCGACAAAGTGCTGTTGTGACGTTGTGTGTGCGCCTACAAGGGCCACAAGGTCATGCGCGTCAATGGTTTTGTCTTGGAACAGCTTGATAAGCGTATCCGCAGAGTCCTTTTCTCCAGGGAGAAGCCCAGTAGGTCCCGCTTTGCTGTTGTCTTTGCGGCCAACAAAGGTGCGGAGGCGTGGGCCGAGCGGGCACACGACAGTCGCTACGTTGGCACCGAATTGGATAATGTCCGCCATACTCATGCCATACGGATTGTATTTGGTGTACCATTTTTTGGTCTGGTCGGCAATGGCGGAAAGACCATTGTTGTCGGCTCGCGTCATTTCGTCGCTAAGAAGGATGCTGCCGTCTGCGCCACCATAGCTGGTGCTCTTGGACCAGACAGCTGCATCGTGAAAGCCTAGACGCACAGCCTGACGAGCAAACTTGCTGCAACGACCAGAAGTACCGTTGAACTTGGCTGTCATTTCATACGCGAGCCACTTCCAATGGCAGCATAGGTCAGCCTTGCAGGCTGCACTTCCAATGTTTCCCACAGGAATCGAGCTGTCCATCGTAGCGGACTCGGCGGCCATTTGATCCAGGATAATCGCCTTGATATCCTTGCCGATAGCAGTAAGCTTAGAGTCAGCGAGGGTTTTAAGATCGCCAATGAGTTCTTTGGAAGCCTGGCGCTTCTCGCGAGCGGCTAGGTAGCGCATATCTGCCATGGTTTCATCCATGCTGGGGTGAGCGTCGCTCAGAGGAACGCAGGCCAGAAGGGCATAGCTAAAGTATGAAAGAGCCTTCATTGTAACGTGAGGTAACGAAACAAAAGAATGGAAAGGTATAGAGTGTAAAGAAGAGACTCAACAGAGGGGGGACTTCGCGGCGATAACAGCTTTATACGAGCACAACCTACAACTGTCGGGGCAAACAGCTTCATAGAAAACATGCTTCACAAGCCATATTTGGCCCTAATCTGCTGGGCAATCTATCCAAGATTTCATTTTCCAAAGATATCTTGAGATCTAGGCTCTTGGAGTAAATGAATACGAAGATGCTGTGCCCCAAATTTGGTCTAATGGAATGCCAGATGGCAAGCGTGGCGTTGATCTATCGGCTCTGGCTGTACTCTAGTTTCGTTATGTCCTAGCACTTCGTCAAGGGAACCGGACTTTCCTAGGCTAATGATAGCTGATAGTCAAGCAATACCACGACTGCTAGTTGATTGGTCGAAGAAAAGCGAAGTGGTAAGTGAGCTGTGCCTGGATCGCGGATCCCCGGACACGGGAGGCGAAACTAGAACTAGAAAGCTGCATTAATATGCGGGGTATATTACACGGGTTCCTTAGTGCCTGAAGCTACTTCCAAGTTGCCTTCGGGTATGTGAGATTGTGCAGGTCTTTCAGCTCCTCTCTCCGCTAGTGTTGCTATTTTTACATGGGAAACCCATTAGCCTCTGATTTGAGCTTACAAAATGACCACTTGACCATCTTTCTAGAAGGAAATTCGAGCAAGAATCGAACACAACCTCGCTCAAGCGCTTTGTTTTGACGGCTAGGTGAGCCGGTAACGCGTGTCGAACGAATGCGGTGACATATTGAACGTGAAACCGGGACGGATTGTTGATGCACATAGTATGAGCCTATTCTTAGACCTCCCAGGAGAATGGATCACAGTTCCAAGGTTACTGGATCGTGCCAGTGTAATCTGGACCCGTCCATGGTGTGACAGATGCATTGGCATTTCAGCCTCACAATCAAAGCAGCTCTTTCTTGGCCCATCTACAGCTTTCCTCAGACCCGGGGTAACTGTAGTAACAGACTAGAAACGTATTCTTGGTATGAACAAGCCGATGTATCAGGCAAGGGCTTGCTCAGAGGATCATAAACCGCGCGTGTCGTGAGGATCCTCGCAACCACCCGGTAAGCTGCATAGCAGGGGATGCGGAATGGCGATGCATATTTAGCCGGATAACGTATAGCGCTCGATGTGTGCCTCGAGCCAAGAGGCCTGGCGGGTACTGATTTTCCCACGAAATTGTCTGCGCGCTCGAATCGCTCAGCCTTTCGAGTGGCGTCTATTCCTTCCGCTGTTGTGTGTTTTGGCCTAACACAATGATAGCTGACAGAATGGAGAAACAGCAAAGAAGCTTCCAGGTTGCTTGGCATGCTCAACAAAAAGATTCGCGGGGGCCATCAAGTCGTGCATGCGGTACCATCCTCTGTGGGTACATGCGAGAAGGTGGGATAAATCGACGGATTGGGGCGGCGGATATTGAGCCAAACCCCTGTGTAGTTAGCACATTGTTGATCTGCAGTTGGGGCTTCCGGCACCCCATTCGGAGTTGGAATTCTTAATATTCTCGTAGATGATGACTTGTTCGTGACTGTTGAACAGCTAATGTCATTTGATAGTGATGCTAGGCTGCTACCACAGCGAGCTCACTCTGTCATAGCCACGGATCGGAACCACTCACCAAACACGGAGCAAGAGATTGAATTGAGTATCATACTGGCCCCCTAGGTTATGCCGGAACCGTGAATTATATGAAAGACGTGTGGGCGTTGTGGTGGAGGCCACCAGCTGCTCACTAGTCACGTGACATAGTGAAGGCGTGGGTGACGGAGCGTGCTCTGCAGCAAGAGATGGAGTGAGAGTAAGGAGGATGAAGTCATAATCAGGGGCACCTTTGGCTATGAGTTGGCAATGGAAGACGATGCCGCAGTCGCAAGAGGCGGAGCTGTGAAGAAGATGGGCGGGGGGTCGCGGGGCTGACAAAGGCCGCCATCCCAAGGCGGCCTAGGTGTGGTCTAATTGCGAACACCTTCTTTCACAGCCACCGCCTCAAAATACCAACCATGCGGTTCGACGGGACGTTGGCACCTAATTTCAGACAAGCTAAGGCCTCAAGAGAAGGCTATGGAGATGCGGTGTGTTCCTTCGTACCGTGATATGCCAGGGATTGCGGCAGACCGCAACACTGCACTGTCAGACTTGTCGGGCTGGGCTGTGTTCAGCTACTGCGCCTAAGACGAAGCCTTTTGATCCTGCTGATTTGTGCGCTGGTTTCTATATCTTTCTTCCGTCAGCTCCATGTGCCATTTCTGTTTACCCATACGCCCAAGTTCGCTCTATCCATCCCCGATCTTTGCACGGTCCGCGGCGCGGTTTGCGAGGTTTCCCACTCCGCATCAGGCGTGCTGGCTACGGTTCCTGGCAAGGCAAACAGTCATCCAACAAGGCCATTACAATGCAAATTTCCAAGATGCGTCGCATTTCAGGCCTATTTTCCGGGCCCAAGACTTCTTTCCAGGTTCTTTCCGATCTGCATCTGGATTTCGAATCGCAATACCTTAGTTTCCATATACCCGTAGCAGCCCCGTTTCTAATTCTTGCTGGAAACATTGGCCGCCTGATCGATTACGAGCAATATCTTGCGTTCCTCATTCGGCGGTGCAATCTTCACGAAAAGGTCTTCCTAGTCCTTGGCACTCTCGAGTTCCATGGGCTTGCGTGGATGGACGGGCTGCAACTAGCTCACAAACTAGAAAAAGAGCCGGCGACAAGAGGCAAGCTGGAGGTGCTCTACGAGACAAGAAGCGATGTTCCCGGGACGAACATCACCCTTTTGGGCTGCACATTATGGAGCCATATACCAGACTCGGATGCAGCTGCTGTGCTGCGCAAGATGCCAGAGTTTGACGAGGAAACCGGCATCCAAGACTGGAGTATCGAGAAGCACAACTTGCAACATAAGCGAGACTTGAGGTGGCTGATCGAGGAAATCAAGAACCCAAACGCAAGCGAAGGCACATTAGCCCCGGCTGCTACGTCGGGATCCAAGCAGGAACGGCAACTCATCGTCGTCACTTCGTTCACACCCGATCTCCGGGGATGCTTAGAGCCCTGGCAAGTCGATGCGCCATGGGCATCGGCATACGGAATGAATCTACTGGACAGTCCTTACTTCAGCAACATCAAAATGTGGATATCAGGGGCAACAGGCCGAACATGCGAATTCAAGAGAGGGGCTACGACGGTGGTCAGCAACCAACGTGGCAGAGAAAGCGAGCAAACGACTGGCTTGCTGAAGGATGGCTTGTCAGAAAAGCAAAAGATTGGCTTATTCGACGTCATGCGCGTCGTCAGGATGTAGTAATGCATTGCAGCTTACCCAATCTCACTACGACGTCACCTTATGACATGCCTATGTGTTCGCGTGCAGATGCGAAGCACGAGACGCGACTTGTCAACCCCGCAACTCGCTTACCAAGCTCGTCCAATGCTATCAGCATGCCTATACATTGTGGCGGAAATATGACTACTAGGCGGGTCTCCTCTGAAAAGTCGCTGTTGCATCTCCAACTTGCGGCTCAATCTTTGCTACTTAACTGTTCAACGCACGCGCTTTACGCCTAAGCATCCATCAACAACTGCCAGCAACATGAATGACGACACAGTTACTCTAACCGCCTCGTGTCTTTGCAGATCACAGGTTCACTCAGCCACTGTTCCAAAGTCCAGCCTTCCTCTCCAAGCGCACATATGCCACTGCAACACCTGTCGGCACCTCACTGGCTCTCTGCACACCTCACTGGCCTTCTGGCGCTCTCCGCGCAGTACGGTCGATCTCTCCAACTTCCAAACCTTTAGCTTCAGTCCAGCATTTGAGATGCTCTTCTGTCCAACATGCTCTTCGCCAATTTTCGGTGCCTTTACAGACAAGACGCGACCTCTGGGTGTAGTGACGGGCGCACTGGATAATATCGCAACCGAACCAGAAGTAGTAAGATGGAACGATATGGGATTTGTGGCCGACACGCTAGACGGAGGCGCAAGTCTGTGGTTGCGAAATGTCAATGTTTCCGGTCCGGCTTTGAAGTGTTTCCAGTATGAAAGAAGAGGTGACAATGCGAAAGAAGTTCCAGAGGAATGGTATACTCAACAACACACTATACAGTCTACCACAGAAAGAAATGCTGCTGTATCGATCAGGTGTAAATGCCATGGCGTACACTTTCTGCTCCGCCGGGGTGACTACGAGAACATGAGCGCTGACGATTTACCCTGGAACGTGGACCCCGACAGTAGAAAACTCAAAGCCGAATTATGTGGCTGCGACAGCTGCCGGTTGCAAAATGGTACTGATGTCTTCTACTGGACGTTTGCGGAGATGAAGAATATTTCATTTGCCGGGGATAATGACGAGGCGGGTTTTCCTCTCCACATGGACGATTTGACTACATTAGTTGATCAAAGGGATCCGCGAATCGGTTCATTGACATATTACCAATCGTCGGCTAGGGTGCATCGGTACTTCTGCCGGGACTGCTCTGCAACAATCTTTTACGCCAATAGCAACCGACCGCGCATAATTGACATTGCTGTGGGGGTTTTGGAGGCAAAGGAAGGTGCCAGGGCGGAGGGTATGCTGGCATGGTCGTTTGGTACAGGAGTCGGGACCAAGGAGGATGCAAATGGCGGGTGGCGTCAAGGCGTTTTCGAGAGAATAGCAAAGGCAGTAGAGGAGTATGGGAAGAAGCAGGATTCGATGGAACAAGACTAGTTGTTCTCTTGAAAGCGTATGGACAGGATATTACACTCCATGTAGTGAGTACTGGCCTGGCTGCAATAGGGAATGCTGCAAGGTGAGATGAATGTAGCACTGTTAAATACATGACTCTCTGAGAATGTCAACGACTTAACATCCACGATGGTAAGTCGATGCGATTCAACACGCTCACACATCTAGACTCAGGGAAGTGGGTCATTTTTTACTTGATTCACGCCATATTGATTTTCCCACAGTTGTAAGTATTTTTCTTACGTGGAGGAGCCAGTATGCCAGCAACTTCATCGCAGTACAATGTGCACTTGCGCCTTTCACCTCGACCATGACCTCGCTTCACACAACTTCCACTGCGTGCGCCCACCGCCCCATTGTCGCACCTTACAAACGCGCACCTACAAAAGTAGTAACGATCGGTTTGCAGCCACCCGTCCGTCTCCCAACCTATCATCACTCCAACACCATATTACTACACTTTACACATCAATACAAACATGTTTTCCTATCCGACGCCTCGGGCACCCCGGCCACCAGGCCACCTTTTCCGTGTAGTAAAGACACTCTCGAAAGATATTTCTATAACAGGAACATATCTGTGCATATCACGCGACCTTGGTTATTCCTTCGAGCCCACTACAGACATTGATGAAGAGCTGTTCACACGATGCGCTCCAATTGCAGCTGCGTTCAAGACGATAGTCGGAAACTCTCGACTACAGCAACAGCTCTCTCTGCTCGAGTACAAGAGGCTGCAAGACGTGCTATACCAGAATATTCAGGGAAATGGCGTAACAGCACTGGGCGAAAAGCAGGCCAAGATGCTACCGCAGCTGGTGGTAGTCAAAATGGCCAGGGAGAAAGAGAGAGTTCGCAGAGAAGTCGAGGCCATAGAGGAGACACATAGAAGAGGGGGGGAAGTTACCACATTACATGTTGGATCATGGGTGTTGCGGTCCCAGCATACTGAAGAGCCAGAGACTTCGTTCATGGTGCTGCGGGCTATTTTTGGGCCTACGCTGGCGCAGTTTGGTGAAGGCAGCAAGCAGTTTAAGAGCGGTGGGATTCCAGACTGGTTCGTGGCGCATATATGTATTGGCCTGGTTGATGCGGTCGAGTTCTTGCATGCGCAAGATATGGTGCATGGGAATATTGAGGCCTCGAATGTGATGCTGAGTTTGTACCCCGTGTACATGCATCATCGGTATCGCGGATATCCAGATGTGCAGCTCATAGGCTTTTCGGCGTGCGCATCCACAGCAGAGAAGAATGAGGTGCTGGATGTCCAAAGTGTGCTTGCGGTCGTGGAAGAGGTGATTACCAAGTGGAGCGACGTTGCTTCGGATTTTAGTTCTACAGGGAGTGACCTGAGTTATGGCAGAGAGGGACAGGATCTACGAGCATTGCTACTGGCTCAGATTAAGAGTGCCACTGGAGCGGCTGCCGAAGGGTCTCTGGACGTGCAGTACTTACGAAATGCATTGCTTGGTACAGCGCAAGACATGCGACACGAGGGTCCGGAAACAATACCTAGAGACATGATGAGATTGCTTCATGCAGATCTAGCAACGGCGGCAGAGCTTGAGCGTGTGATGAGAGACCCAGTTGTTATCAGGTTCATGGCTCGGAAGGAAGGGCTACGCAGTATCGTCGAAGATGTGCCTTTTATCATGGATGGGATGAATGCGGGCATGAAGACACAGCGAATCCTAGTGGTGAGGTTTAGAAGCAAGAAGTTGGAGTTTCTTAGGGCGATGGGAGAAGAGGACGCAGAAGGAGAGACGGACGATGAGATGATTGACGATAGCCTAATGCAGGCGAGACTCTTGGGTGACTGGATGTGTGGAGAAGAGGACGCAGAAGGGGAGACGGACGATGAGATAATTGGGATGCGTGGAGAAGAGGACGCAGAAGGGGAAACGGACGATGAAATGTTTGACGCTAGCCTAATGCAGGCGAGGCTCTTGGGTGACGGGATGCGTGATTAGGCTGTATTATTATTATTATTCTAGTTTAACGTCCTTTTTCAGCCCGAAGGGCTATATAAGA